CTTAAAAATAGCAAAATTGAAGGAATTCAGTGATTTTTCTTTTTCTATTTCATAGTGATAATTTTTAGAAAAAAAAATGAAAATAATTTTTCCATTCTTTTTTAAGTGATAGTTTAGAATTTTATTTGAAATTATGATAAATATGATAAAAGATAAGAATAGTGGATATTATATTAATATAATTTTATTTAACACTGTAATGATTAAATTATTTTTCATAATTTTATTATCAGATATTTTTGAGAATTATCGCTGCAGTAGTACTTAACTGTATAGATTGCTAACTTGAGATAAAACCAGAAATAATGGAAATTGATGGTAAACGGTTCAATTATTGTTTACAATATACTATTTGCAGTAATTAAGAATTATCAATAAAACGATAATGTTTGATACTGCAGGTTTTAAATTAAGAAAAGACAAAGAACGATATCAGAAACGATAGAAGTTATTGGTGAATTTAACGAAATTATATAAATTAGCATAAAATAAATTATGATATTTAGAACTGTTCAAACAATTTTAAACCGTTCGCTTCATTCAATTAAATCGATATAAATAGCCAATGTTATTTTGCAACTTCTCTGAGTTTAGCAAATTTTTTAGCAGACAACTTCTCATTTTGAAAATGAAATTTTATATATTATTCTATTTTGCATTTTCCTTCAATTTATGAAAATATGGTACTATTCAGGAGTTTAACATGATATTATCGGATAATATTATACGGTATCCGCATTATGTAACTATTCAAATCCACAAAAAGATGGAGAAAGAACTTTTAAATCTATCATATTTATTATCCATTTAATTAGTTGTTCTGTCCATCTAATGTTTTGAGTTAAAATTTTTTCTATTTAAGATATTATTTCAAAGTAAAACAGTCAAAAAAGTTTCTTCAAAACTTACAATTTTACTGGCCGAAACCATAACGAAAGTTAATAAAATGATTACAAATTGCATAATTCTCCTGTAAATCCTGAAAATAAAACCAAAAAAAAAAATGAAACCATATGATCAAAAAAAGGAACACTGGAATTATTAGTTGATATGATAATTTAATTTATTCGAAGTATGATGAAGCAATGAATGATTTATTTCATACCTATTTATACTAAATTTTAATTGTGTAAATCCAATGGATAATATGACGACGAAAAAAGTACACACATACCCATACATAAATAAAATTCAAATACATTAAGTATACAAATGTAAAAGAAAGAAAAGAAAAGATAAAAAGGATTGAAATGGTAAAGTGGAAATGTTTGTTGTTTGGTAAGCAGCAAGCAGACAAAAACTTAATGTAAATGCTAATATTATCGTTTGACAAAATGAAAAATGACAAAACTAGAACTTCAGGTTTTACTAAGAACTTCAATTTTTGTTGGTAGTACTTTTAACTTGTTGTTGCTAGAACGAAGCGCAAACTGTTACTATTTCAGCGCTCAATACCTACACCTGATCACTGTAAACAATATTTTGATGATTAACAAAGAAAAAAAAAACAAAAAACAAAATTTTTTTAAATTAACAACGAAAAAAGTGTAACATACAGTAATTTTATGTTTATTTACTTACAAATGCATAGATAAGCGGAAAAATGCATGCGGAAATACGTTTGCTTACCACTTACAATCATTAATGTGATTCACCTTCTACAATAAAAATTTAATTAAAATATGATTCATTCGATAAAAGCAATTTTTAAGCAATTTCTCGATTATTAATTGTAACGATAAAATTGTATTCTAAAATATTGTTATTAATGCAATAGTAGCCATTTATTATTTGTTACAAAAAATATTGCAAACCATTTCATAAATAATGTATGTCAACTATTATTTACTACAAATTGAAGTACTGATTTTTGCTTTTAAATATTGGAAAAAAAAAGCATTTCACATAATTTCATTATCATATTTATTCATTTTATAAATAAAACCAATAAGATGAGAAAAATACAGTTAAAAAAGCCAAACTAATAATTTTAATTCGATTGTTATCTAAATTGTAATAAAAAATTATTTCAAAATTTCTTTTGATTTCTTTTTTTTCTACTGTTCATTGCTCTTACTTTTTCCATTTCCATATTTACTTTTCTACTTTTATTCATATTTTTTTCTTCTTTCATTTGGATAATACCATAACACAATAATTTTTCCAGTAATTTCAATATCCCAAATATTTTTCATTTGTAAAAAATTTAACTACTACTTTCAGGTAAACGGAAACTGCTTTATGATTTCTTGCAAATGCAAACACTTAACAAATCCACTATGATCCTTTGGAAGAAAAAAAAAAGGGAAGGAATGGAACGCAAAGAAAAAATGAAAAAAGTAAAACGGAAAATTGCAGTTTGATGCTAACTGGTTAGTTTATATTTGATGACATATTCAATTCGATGAATGTGTAAAGGAATTTCTACACTATGAATTCATTTCAATTCACAAATATCACATATACATTAAAGAAAAAGAAGTGACGATGAAATTTTTCATTTAAATATAAATTAAAAAATTTAAAATATAAATTTGAAAAGGAAGCTGATGATGGATTTATATGAATGTAAATTAAGCAATAATTGTTTGTTTTGATAGATCAATCATCCGCAAGTTCATATCTCTTTTTTTACGTAAGCTATTTCAGAGAATGAAAAAAGAGCGAAAAAAAAAGAAAAAATGCATATTTTAATTGTTTTGCTTGTCGCAAAGTATTACCAAATTTAAATTTTGGTTTTTGAATGATAAGTTAGTGGAGATGATAAATTCGTTTTTTCTTCACTAACTTTTGGCAAAAACTTTTTGGCTTATTTTATATTTTGGTAAATTTGAAATAATTATTTCATTTCTCTTTTCCATCCGTAATGCATTTTACCAATGAAACTTTAAATTATAATAAAATTTGTAAATTTAAATCTTAAATTTACACTTATTTTTCTGATTGTTCCAACGGTAACAATGAATTATGTTATTTTAAAGTTGAAAAAATAGAGATAATATAGGACTAAAGTTAAAGGTGATGTTTTAATTTCAATTCGATTTAATTTAAAATTAAATATGTAAATTGCAATAATTGCCTCATTCGCACTTGGCAAAGATGATGACTCAATGTAGTTTAACAATTACTGCTTTTGCTTTTATGGCATATTACGATAAGGCGATTCACTCTTTTTCTGACGCAAAAATGACAGCTATGACTCATCGATTTTCAACATTCTTCAAATTGTGTAAAATGATAATTTTTTCAACGTGATTCACCTAATTCAAACATCTAAAACTACTTGAACCTTTGAATCAATCGTTTGTGTTCAATTCATAACTGCCACCATTGTAGACAATCATTGATAATAATAGTACTAATCGATAACATCATATCCATTTGATAATGCTGTGATTCAGATATAGTCTTACTTAACTTGAGATCAATAATTTCCATTTGTACATTGTCAATATACTTTAACAGTTGATGATATATTCAAAATGTTTGAAATAATCATTAATGAGCATGAAAATATCACTCATATTTTTTACAGTAATTCTAGTCATGATAATTATCATGATTGACGGTCAATAGTAATCGTTCTCTTTTTCGGTTTGATATCATCATTCATGAATGTCGTAACAGTTTATGCAATTGATCATAAATGAATGATTGAAAATTTTACATTTTTTTGATTGCATTCATTATTTTATTATATTGCAATCAATTGAGTGATGACCAATTATAAAACCACTCTCAAAATTCGCAATACTTAAACATAATACATGATATTTTGGTAATCATTATACTTTTCACGCAAGAAATACTATGTTTACCTAAATTATAAGTTTTGAAAGTGCTTTAATTACGTTTAATTGCATAAATTGTTAACAATACCGTCAGTTTATTCATTCGTGACAAATTACAGAGTTTATCACAAAATTATGTATTCGGTTATACATAATCTTTTGTGCTTTCAATATTAGTTATATTCGGATCTTTTTGCACTAATTTTTAAGTTGAAATTATCCTCCTTAGCTTTTCAAAATTTTCTGAATAACGATATCTTTTATCATTTGATCACTGCATTATCGAAATTTTGATCATTTAACTGATGAGAAATTTCATCGAGAGAAGAAGCATATAAATTGAGGAATCTTTTATTATTTAACTTTGACTATTTGCATACAATGAATACAATTTGATATAATATACAATTATAACTATTTAATAGATGATTAATTTCTTTTTCATCCCGTAATTTTGTCGTAATCAGCAACAAATTGCTTGTACTTCGTCATCAGATCGTCATTGTCAGCAAAAATTTTATATTTATCAATGAAATAAAACAGCATCACCCGATGCACATACAGATATTGCTGAAAACTGTGAGCAAACCACAATCATCACAGTATATCAAAGTGATGAATCGTAATTACTATGCAATATCAAAGTGATGAACCGTAATTACTGTGCAATATCAAAGTGATGAACCGTAATTACTGTGCAATATCAAAGTGATAAACCATAATTACTGTGCAGTATCAGAGTGATAAAACCGGTGTTATTTGACAACCGGCATTGACTAGCTATTATTTGACAACAAAGTAATTGATGCTAAATAAATTTCCTACCGAATACATATAAGCTAAATATCATTGTCTCTTGTAAAGGTTGTTTTGAAAAGAAAAGTAACTGAAGAATCGAAGGAAAAATTATTGATAATTTTTTCTACAATACTTTGATAAAATTCTAGCATTTAGGTACCATATCATTTTGTATGGTAAATGGTCGTTGATTTCGTAGTTCTTTAAGAATTTTATCCATTGATTCGCACGGTATACCTTGCTGAAGTTTCTCCAGAATATACTCAATTGCTACAATTGCGCCGGTCCTACCAATACCAGCAGAGCAATGTACCACAATTGGTTTCTTGGTACCACGAATATTTGATAAAAGAACCTGTCAAAATTATGTCGGTAAAAAATTTCTGGTCATAATGCAATTTATTAGAAAATTAATTAGTGAATTGAATACCATCGATGTGAGTCGACATGGCGGTACACCACGATCTGGCCAATTTATCCACTGATAATGACGTATCTCACGACTTTTTTCCTGACCACCGTCTTTCCATTGGACTTTTAAAAGACAAACT